TGATTAGCTGATTGGCATGTCACCATATTCTAATTTGTTGAGATAGTGAATTGGTGGGTTTTTGTTAAATGTGAGCAGTGGTGGAAAGAGTACTGAAAATTTGTACTTAAGTACAAGTACTGTTACATTGCTGAAATAATACTCAATTACAAATAAATGTACTGGTGTCAAAACAGTACTTAAGTAAAAGTACAAAGTACTCCTCTCAAAAACTACTCAGAGTACTAGACTTTTTAGCCTTTTTAGCCGGCGATATTTAATGAGTTACCAAAAAAATATTAATTCATATCAAAGATCTATAGCTACTTTAGCTACTTTGAACAAAACCCACTTTTATCTTGTTGACAAAGTATGTGAATTAGTGGTCATGGTTGAAAAATATCAATATCAAAGTACCTGTGAACCGGAAGCTGCAGTGAACGTTTGTTAATCTAATGAATAATTGATTTGTTAAATCAAATGAAAAATTGTGTTTTTGATTTGTCCAGACGCTACATACAGTACACTCAACGGTGTGCTCTAAGACAAATTACAAATTATAACCCTGACCTTTATCTCCATACTGAAATCCCAGATGACCAGACAGTGATTAATATTAGTGATTAGTGTCTGAGACACCGTGAGCACGGAGACTGTAGTGTGCACAGCACATGTTTAAATGCTTAGCTTAAATATGTAATATTAATTAAATAATGCTCATAAATGGGAGATACGATAGTATTCTCAAGTGAAATGAGTAGAGGCTTGGACCCGGAAACAGCAGTCCTTACATCATGACTTAACAAGCGGATTCTCCCGAAGCCGTCAAACTGATGTCATCCGAGCAAGAACGCCATTCCAGAGCGGAAGCAGTTTTTGATTAAAGATTACGACGGCAGACAATTTTTTTTTTTTTTACAGTGTATTGACTTGCATGGTTCAATTGTTCACCACAAGACAATTAACGTGCACTAAAAAGTAATTAGGGTAATTTTTTATTTCATGACAAATAATCATTTTCAATACCACTGGCAAAACTAACACATACTGTATACTGCCATATAGATATTTTAATAATTAAAAATATTTTTGTCCATCCATTTTTGTCAAGGCAATCATTATTTCAAGCTTATTATTTCAAGCTTTGAGTCTCTAATTTTTAGAAGTCTTCTAAAAAGACACATTTACGGAAGTTCTAAGCGGCCATGCATTATTATTTTTTTCCTTTTTGTCTTCTCGTTATAACGACTTAATTTTCTCGTGATCTCGACATAACAAAAGTTGTTCTCTAAGTTACAAAACTGCGCCAACAGGTGGCACTATTGTCCTGAATATAACTGATGGGGTGTTGTAGGCTATATCCACTTTACTGTACGTGTTTGGGATAGAATAGGACCTTCCTCGTGATCGCTATAATTTGTGCAGTATTGTTCATTACTGACATTGAATTCATTCATAAATGTTAAATGCTTGAATCAATATGACTATTTTGTGTATTAAGTTCTTGCTAGATGCATGAGTTTCACCAACGCGTTCTGTGTCATAAAATAAAACCAAGGTTGACGTCACTGTATTCTATTTGCACCTATATCTATATTTGTGCTTCTTTGAGGTAGGCTACATGATTGTTAGTTAATAAGCGGGGATGTTCTGTTTATCTACAGTAGGACGGGCTTCAACGACGTAGGCTATTTGTAATGTGCCTCTCCTTATTATTACTCTTTCTTGTTAATTATATACACATACACATGAACGCTCTTTCAAACAGAAGCTTGTAACGCACATGATATCAGTCACAGCATATTGCCTAATGACTACTAAAAATGACAAATTATATATAATTTTCTTTCAAATAAAAGGAAAATTAAAAGTGAGTTGAATCCAAGCAGCTCTAAAAGATTTTAGAATAGTTCTGCATCCTGAAGGCGCTCCGCCTGTGTTTGCGGTTAATGTTAATTACACAAACACAATGTTTAGCGTACTGTCTCTGGAAATATCAACAGTGATTGATCAGCCTTTATTTATGTATTGTAGACGTTATTACTAGGCAAAGCAAAATTTGCTGAAATATCAAAGACATAGGCTACAGTAAGAGCGCACGGTTTATCTGTCCATCAGATGCGTGTCAAAGTTGAGTTCGTTACTATAGCAACAGTAGATCAAACAATCAGTGTAAAAAAAAAATAATAATAAAACTTTGTCGAGATCACGAGAAAATGAAGTCGTGATAACGAGAAAACAACTCTCGTTATGTCGAGATCACGAGAAAATTAAGTCGTTATAACAAGAAAACAACTCCTTATGTCGAGATCACAAATTAAGTCGATATAACGAGAAAACAACTCGTTATGTCGAGATCACGAGAAAATTAAGTCGTTATAAGGAGAAAACAACTGGTTATGTCGAGATCACGAGAAAATTACGTCGTTATAACGAGAAAACAACTCTCATTATGTCGAGATCACGAGAGAATTAAGTCGATATAACGAGAAAACAACTCGTTATGTCAAGATCACGAGAAAATTAAGTCGTTATAACGAGAAAACAACTCTCGTTATGTCGAGATCACGAGAAAATTAAGTCGTTATAACAAGAAAACAACTCCTTATGTCGAGATCACAAATTAAGTCGTTATAACGAGAAAACAACTCGTTATGTCAAGATCACGAGAAAATTAAGTCGTTATAAGGAGAAAACAACTCTGGTTATGTCGAGATCACGAGAAAATTACGTCGTGATAACGAGAAAACAACTCTCGTTATGTCGAGATCACGAGAAAATTAAGTCGTTATAACAAGAAAACAACTCCTTATGTCGAGATCACAAATTAAGTCGTTATAACGAGAAAACAACTCGTTATGTCGAGATCACGAGAAAATTAAGTCGTTATAATGAGAAAACAACTTATGTCGAGATCACGAGAAAATTAAGTCGTTATAACGAGAAAACAAGAAGGAAAAAAAATAATAATGCATGGCCGCTTAGAACTTCCGTACACATTCGCTTTATATGATGAACAGATTTTAATATAGGATTTTATTTATATACATATAAATATTGATCAAATACCATTAATTATGACAACACTGAATTTTTATAAGCAGTGATTTAAGAGCCATATAGGCCTACAGTATGTTAGGCCTATTTATTTAGATAAATGGAACATCAGATGCTTTGACCTGTAATGTCTGTACCAGTGATGCAGTTAGACCGACTAGGATATTTATATGTACAAATCAGACAAATAGCCCATTCAAAACATTTCTAGCATAAACTTACATTGTAAAGAAATTACAGTTCCATCTTCTATTGCATTTCACTTACAGCCAATACAATCTACAGTAGGATCAGGCGTGGATCTATTCTAAATGGTTGATAACTTTTACAATAAAGCGCTCGCCACATTTGCGCGGGAATGATTAAAGTTATGCGGAATACCTGCAATCCCGCGCGGATATTCAGACTCTGTAATCGACAGGAGGCGGATGCGTGTAACTCACTGTCAGAGAGGAAAGAGCTTGTGTCTGTGTATATTCGGTAGATACTGTGGAAAATGAGTAATGGAACCGAGTCAGATATAGCAGTATCGGTATCAAAATATTGATATTTATGATAACACTACCATGTAGTTTTCTCCAAACTTTTGAGTCCATGAATTACGTTGAGCTCGCTCACTGTCTGATCAGCTCTTCACCTGCTGCAGCGGCGGATTTCCCCGGTTCAGATATCAGGGCTGTTATTGGTCCCTTTACGATCGGATATCTTTATTGGCTACTGAAGTGCCGTCAAAGGTTTGAATATCAATTCAAATTGTGGGCGTACTCAGTAACGAACTATGATTTAAAAGTAATGAAGTAAATTATTTTGCTTAATTTGTACTTAAGTACAAGTAAAAGTACAGCTTTAAAAATATACTCAAAAAAGTACAAGTACCCGAAAAAACGACTTAATTACAGTAACGTGAGTAGTTGTAATTCGTTACCTCCACCACTGAATGTGAGCCAAAATCATCACAATTAAAAGAACCAAAGACTTAAACTACTTCAGTCTGTGTGCATTGAATTTATTTAATACACGAGTTTCACAATTTGAGTTGAATTACTGAAATAAATGAACTTTTCCACGACATTCTAATTTATTGAGATGCACCTGTAGAGTATCAGTACAGTTTCATGATGGCTGTCTCAAACTGTCTCTTTGCATTAAGTTATTATCCTTAATCTTAGTCATAATCTGGAATACACTTCATGGGCAAAAGCACATTATACCTATTTTTCTGAGAATTTGCATGGAGCAAACCAATTTTCACACACAACACCCACACACAAAGAGAATCCAACACATTTATAAAAGCTTAAACTATAGGTCATTTAACCTTATTACTGGCCAATTTAAAGCAGTGACACAAATGCATATTTGTTTGAATATTTGTAAAACTATTACAATTTGCTTTAGTAAATTAAAATAAATACAAAATGCTGAATACTATAAATGTATATAAATAATACTAGAATAACACTGGTAAGACAGATCCATAATGAAGAGAAATTTGTTCTTTTGCAGTGTATTAAATGTGGATCATGCATCAGAACAGTTTTCAATCTGCATAGTTCCTCCAAAAATAATTTCAAAGTTTAAGAAAATGTTCTGCCATGACCCGCCCTTATGACAGCAATGCCATTTTGGAAATAAATATAACAGATATAAAGTATCAGTTCCTCAGATTATCATAATTCATAGGTAAATTCACAGATTAATTATTAAAATGTTAAATTACTAAACCATCCAATGGTCTTTTACACAAGTTTGCAGAATGTAAGGAATGTCCATATAAGGTATGGCGAGTAAACTCTGCAAACAAACAAGGTGCTGATAAACAGTGGTTGGTCTTAAGTCTGTCTTCTTCTTTTAAGTTTTCGGAGCTTCTTGAAAACCTGAGAACAGAAGTATGTAATTACTTTTATAGCTTAGAAATTGTTTTTCACAATAACTGCTAGGATCAGACTTCCAGAGTCAATTTTTGCAATTACTCCTCAGTGTTCTCTTTAAGAGCATTTGTCATTTAAACTTGTTACTTCCCTGTCTGTGTTTAGCTACATCTAATGCTTTGCTGAACCTATACCATAACTTCTAATAATTCAAATAAAATGCTCAGAAGATATGAGATAAATCAGCTGCATTTAGAAATACTTACGCATATGGAAACGGCACTGAGGATAAGTTTACTCACAGCGAGTCCTACACAACCCCACAGGACATAAAGCACTGAATCGTCATCCACGTGAGGCAATGAGATGCTAATGTTTGGCCATGATCCATTAATAAATTTGGTGGAGAAATCAAAGATGATGGGTGAAGTTGTTGACACACAACCTAGGGAGACAAATGGGGCTACATTATCTTTAATCTTCAACAAGTGAATTATGCACATAAATGACTAAAATAAAAAGCCATATTTTTTGTCTGCATTTGAAATTGACAGCCATATGCATTTAGACACAGGAAACCAAACCAAAATGTACAGAGATCTGTATAACATATTATGTCAAATATGAATTTGTTCATTGTCATATATGAAATACCTGAGATATTAAGTCTAACCCGATTTTGACAGTTCATTCCTCCAGCTTTGGCTCTAATTAAACACTTGTATTCCCCAGAATCTGCAGGAGCAACTTTCCTTAAGACCAAAGCTGCATTTTTATCCAGTGACACAGAATCGTTGTGTTTGTCAGTCTGGATGCCATTTTCAGACTTTATGAGGATTTTCATTGTAGATCTGTCACTGCTGTTATTGTAGAACTTTAAAAAAAAATTTAAAAAAAAGAACAGTGAGTATATGTAATTGCGTATTGCAGCATTAATAAGGTCATGAAAATTCATTGCGCCTCAACTTTCTTTCCTTTAAATATAAGAGTCGAGTTGTGAAGTTGTCATTTACTGTGTTGAGAGCACATACTACTAAAATACGCTTCTTTTGTGATCACATTCACTAATTAAAAAAAATCTTTGAGATTTAATTACATCATTCATACTCATTCATGCACTCAAATTACATAGAATCAAATTTACATTCATTTTAAATGTGACTTAATGTAAATTAACTAATTAATTTAATTTAATTCATTTAATAGTTAATTAAAACAAGTACATTATTATAATTACTATCATTATTGTTATACATATTTATAAATATGTTGTATTTTATTAATAGCCTACTAATTATTTTGATATATAAATGTTTGTCACTGTCACTGTCTGAATGCACAGGAAAATTTGGATGTGAATAAAGAATTAAAAGGAATGAGTGTAGAGGAAATGAATGTGTGCCTGCATGTGCTTAAACCACAGACATTAAAGACCGTTCACATAGAACGCATTTTGTTTTCCGCTGCGCTGCTTTTCCATTGTTTTTATGTAAACGTGCGCCAGACACACGTGTTTGATCGTTGCGCGTGGGTCTCGCGTCTTTTGCAGACACGAAGCGTTCTAAAAACGCGGCGCACAAGATTTATTTATTTCACAAAAATGAATCAAAATGCCCAACTCCAAATAGCATTGTTTTCATACTCTTTAATCATTAGACAAGGATTCAAGTCAATTGACCACAGTATTTGTGACGTTCTAAAAACGCGGCGCACAAGTTTTTTTTTTTTTTTTTTCTTCCATTACACTGCTCCGCGTCACGGGTTTTTAAACGTAAAATGCATTGTATAAATGGCCTCTATAAACCTGATTTTTTTACTCAAGCCATGCGGTCATTTCTGCAGACACTTGAACTTATGCGAGGTGTTCGTCAAATCAACATCTACAAATGTTTGAGAAAGTCAGCATGACGTAAACATGACACACAGAATATGGTTTCTAGCAGTGGTCATCTGAGATTTGACAGATGGACATGGCTCACCTTGTACCACGTAATAGAGGTGTAGTTCTGACAGTTTTGAAGGAAAGGACAGTGCAAAGTTATGTCATCTCTGCAACATGCGGTGACGAAGGTGAGTTCATCGTTGCCAAATACTATGTTATGGCTCAACGCTAAAAACAGACATACAGAAAAAGCAACAACAACAAAAAAGCTCAACAAATAAATAAATCAACAGCACAAAGCGCCTGACGTATACGCTTTGCTTGTTTGGTTGGATAGATACACCTGTCGTTACATTATTGCGTGAAATGTCTGTTATACTGTTGCCATTTTTTGCATTTAAATTATAACAAATATTGAAGTTTCTAAGGACCTTTTACACCCTTTATAATTAGGCCTAACTAAGTTGTGTGTAAAAAATAACGAGTAAAATAGAGAAAAAGAACTCACCCAACACAATCAAGCGGATCATTATCGTGCTGGTGAAATGTGTGATGCTCATTTCCTCCCAAGTTGGCTGCTTTCCACGGTTCTTATGAATCACATTTTGATTTTGTGAGGAAACTCCACAGAAAAACTGTGGGTTTAACAGTGTCCTATACTTGTTGCTCTTGCGGTTAACACACGTTCAGGATCAATATATAGCCTAACTCAGATCAGTGGTTCTCAAACTTTTTATGCCAAGTGCCACCTCAGAATATATTTGGCTCTACCACCAATGACCAACATTAAAATAGAGTAGCGCAATGCACATTTAAACATTGTAAATACACAGTTTGAACATTAACACTGCAATGTGCTTACATCCAGGTAAATAAAAAAACTTAAATAATGATTCAGTTATAATATATTGTACTTAAAAGTTCAATAAAACTGTGCAGTACTTAAATGTTAAAAAACTATACTTAAATAAAGATTAAATGAAAATGTATTGTAGGCCTAGTTAACATTTAAAGGGGTAGTTCACACAAAAATTAAAATTTGATGTTTATCTGCTTACCCCCAGGGCATCCAAGATGTAGGTGACTTTGTTTCTTCAGCAGAACACAAACGAAGATTTTTAACTCAAACCGTTGCAGTCTGTCAGTCATATAATGGAGGTGAATGGGAATCACGGATTTGAGAGTCAAAAAAACATACACAAACAAAATCAACTTAAACCCTGTGGCTCGTGATGATACATTGAAGTGTAAAGACATGAAACGATTGGTCTGTGCAAGAAGCTGAACAGTATTTATATCGTTTTTTACCTCTGATTTACTGCAATGTCCGAACTTTCCTGAGGGCGTTCGTGTCTATAAGTCTGCGATCCACCATAAAGCAAGAAGAAGAAGAAGACGCGTCACGCACCGGCTGAAGAAGAAAATGCGAACGCACTCAGGACACGCTCAGGACAATTCGGACATTGCAGTAAATCAGAGGTAAAAACGATATAAATACTGTTCAGTTTCTTGCATAGACCAATCGTTTCGTGTCTTTACACATCAGTGTATCGTCACGAGCCACAGGGTTTCATTTGGTTTTGTTTGTGTACGTTTTTTTGACTCTCAAAGCCATGATTCCCATTCACCGCCATTATATGACTGACAGACTGCAATGGTTTAAGTTAAAAATCTTTGTTTGTGTTCTACTGAAGAAACAAAGTCACCTACATCTTGGATGCCCTGGGGGTAAGCAGATAAACATCAAATTTTCATTTTTGGGTGAACTATCCCTTTAAGTATAGTACAGTTTTTATTTAACTTTTAAGTACAATACATTTTCATGTAATCTTTAAGTACAGTTTAAAAAAAAACATTTAAGTACAGAACAGTTTTTATTTAACTTTTAAGTGAAAAAAATACTTGGTAAAAAATAATAATAATAAATTAACAGGCCGTATGTGTAGCTGCAAGTAACAATCAAGCAGCGGGTCTGTCTAGTCTCTTGTAGCCAGACCTTCAGACTGATGGCAGACCAACGGTCTGTGGGCTACTGCGTGTCCACCGAAGCCAGCTGAAAGTGCCCAGCTGTGAGCGCTTGAGAGCGCAGCGTTTTTGTTTTTTGGGGGGTTTTTTTCAGTTGAGACGCTGTGGTTGCTATGATATGGAATATCCGCTGAAGTAATATGGCAGACGCATCGCGAATGAAAAGTTTCTCCAAGCATAAGCAATATTAAAGGGTTAGTTCACCCCAAAATGAAAATTCTGTCCAGTTTCTATTATGTTATGTACTTAACAAAACTACAGCTAATAGTGGCACAGCTATTAAAAGAGGTAAAATTATGTTAGCCGCAGACCCCACACCTGCACCCCACCCTCAGTGCATTCACTCTACTGTCAAATGAATATTGCACACAAAAATGTCAAAAACTGGCTGGAATCACCTGTTCCTGTTTGATTGGCTGGCTTTGCATAGCTTGTCTATACACTATAATATCCACTATTTTTCTGTCTTAAATGCACATGGAGATTGCTGTTGCAATAATTAAATTTGTGTTTTCCAGCCTTCCATTGTGATGTAATCTGTTTTTTGTAAACCCACTTGCTTTTCATTTATGCCAGACAGTTGTTTCTTGTCAGAGTTTCTTGTCAGAAGTCCGTCTACATGAGATGTGAACTTTATTCTCACCCCCATTTTCCACCAAAATGGTGCTGGTGCTGATGCTGTTTCCCAGACTGGGAATCTGTTCAATTTTCTCAGAGCCAAGCCCATGTTTCTTTCGACTTGAGAGGTGAACAATGACCTGACTAACCTGGCCACAAACAGACTGTCCTTCATCTTTCTTTAGAGTATTAGGCCGCGTGCCCACCAAAGTGTTTTTAGCCAGCTGAAAACGCCCAGCTGTGAGCGCTTGAGAGCACAGCTTTTTTTCAGTTGAGACGCTGTGGTTGCTATGATATGGAATATCCGCTGAAGTAATATGGCAGACGCATCGCGAATGAAAAGTTTCTCCAAGCATAAGCAATATTAAAGGGTTAGTTCACCCCAAAATGAAAATTCTGTCATTAATTACTACTCACCCTCATGTCGTTCCAAACCGTAAGACCTTCGTTCATCTTCGGAACACAAATTAAGATATTTTCTATGAAATGTGAGAGCTCTCAGACCCTGTATAGACAGCAACGCAATTGTAATGTTCCCAGGTCCAGAAACGTAGTAAGGACATCGATAAAACAGTCCATGTGGCTCAACTTCAGTTTTGCGAAGCTACGGGAATACTTTTTGAGCGCAAAGAAAACAAAAATAACATAATTTATTTAACAATTCTTCTCCCCGGAGTTACGTCTTCCGCCATTTTAGAGAGTATCACAATGCATACGCACGCTTTCCCCTAAGCCTAAACAAGGCTGATTATGCAGATTACGTTCATGTGTTCTCTCCCGAACGTAAACAACGCTGACTACGTCGATTACGCTCTTGGGTACTCTCCGAAATGGCGGAAGACGTAACTCGGGGGAGAAGAATTGTTAAAGGGTTAGTTCACCCAAAAATGAAAATTCTGTCATTAATTACTCACCCTCATGTCGTTTCAAACACGCAAGACCTCCGTTAATCTTCGGAACACAAATTAAGATATTTGTGATGCATTCTGACAGCTCTCTGACCCTCTCATAGACAGCAAGGGTACTACCACGATCAGTGTCCAGAAACATAGCAAGGAGATCGGTAATATAATCCATGTGACATCAGGGGTTCAACCGTAATATTACGAAGCTACGAGAATACTTTTTGTGCGCAAAAGAAAAAAATAACAACTTTATTCAACAATTCGTCTCCTCCGCGTCACCCTAGCGCCATTTTGAAGAGTATCAGCCGCACCACACGGATACATTGTTTTTGTTCAAATCAAAGCACAAACAACATAGAAAACGTGTGGCGCAGCTGACACAGAGGATTTGGATACTCTCCAAAATGGCGCTAGGGTGACGCGGAGGAGACGAATTGTTGAATAAAGTTGTTATTTTTTTCTTTTGCGCACAAAAAGTATTCTCGTAGCTTCGTAATATTACAGTTGAACCCCTGGTGTCACATGGATTATTTTACCGTTGATCGTGGTAGTACCCTTGCTGTCTATGTGAGGGTCAGAGAGCTGTCAAATTCCATCAAAAAATCTTAATTTGTGTTCCGAAGATGAACGAAGGTCTTACGGATTTGGAACGACATGAAGCTGAGTAATTAATGACAGAATTTTCATTTTTGGGTGAATTATCCCTTTAAATAAATTATGTTATTTGTTTTCTTTGCGCTCAAAAAGTATTCCTGTAGCTTCGCAAAACTGAAGTTGAGCCACTGATGTCACATGGACTGTTTTATCATGTCCTTACTACGTTTCTGGACCTGGGAACGTTACAGTTGTGTTGCTGTCTATGCAGGGTCTGAGAGCTCTCACATTCCATCAAAAATATCTTATTTTGTGTTCCAAAGATGAACGAAGGTCTCACGGGTTTGGAACGACGTGAGGGTGGGTAATTAATGACAGAATTTTCATTTTGGGGTGAACTAACCCTTTAACTTCTCCATTGTTGTTCAGTTGTAGTACAAGCAGGGTGTGACGGTTGGTCGGTATTTGTCCCGCCCCTCCTCCACTGTGATTGGTCAGCTGACTAAAAAGTGACAGCTCGGCACGCTCCTGGCATTTTAAAAAATGCGGCGCTCCCGACATGCGGCCTAATTTATATTTAATTCAGTGATTCCTCTGCATACCACTAGAGGAAGCTCGCATACCACGCTTTTGAGAACCACTGCCTCAGATCATTGGGATAAAAAAAATTATCGACATAACTTTTAAGTAGCCTACTGCAGTGTTTCCCAACCTTTTTTTAGTCGCGGCACCCTTTGGAAATTTTAAGAAATTTGTGGCACCCTACAAAATTAATTTTGTCACACCCATTTACCACACCTTGTTACAGCACAGTAGGGCTATTGCAGACAGAAACAATACTGCACTACATCGATGTTTCCCGTCGGCTCAATTTTTGAGTGGACTTTGCTGTTCCGATTCGCATGAACGGTATATGAGTGGAGCGACTGAGCGGAGCGCACACGCATAGAGCGGGATAATACGCAGAGCGTTGGTTGTGTTGTGAGAATTTTCAGCGTGTTTCTGTCTTTGGTTGTTGTGAGAATTTTCAGCGCGTTTCTGTCTTTGGTTGTGTTGTGAGAATTTGCAGCGCATTTCTGTATTTGGTTGTTGTGAGAATTTTCAGCTTGTTTCTGTCTTTGGTTGTGTTGTGAGAATTTTCAGCTTGTTTCTGTCTTTGGTTGTGTTGTGAGAATTTGCAGCGCATTTCTGTCTTTGGTTGTGTTGTGAGAATTTGCAGCGCATTTCTGTATTCGGCTGTGTTGTGAGAATTTGCAGCGCGTGTGTTGTCCAATTGATGAAGATGTTTTCTTAATTTGCTGGTGTTTTTTCTATTTGCATTTCATTACACCAAATACACAAAATAATGTTCTTTTTAGCAGCATCATATGACCCCTTTAAATCTGTGTCCGAAATTGACACGTTCACTCAGAGGGGGGTGCGGTGGGTGCTTGAGCACCTGTCCCTTTTACCGTTGATGCCCAAAGTGCCCTTTTGTCAAGGCAATTTTTATTTAATTTTTTATTTATTAATTTATATATATATATATATATTTAGATTTTTTGTAATTAAACACCCTTTTGTAAAGGCCTGCCCAATCTAACTATTAGTAAAATGAATGTATAATAATTTATCAATAAATAAAATTATCCACATGATGACCTTTCACCTGACGATCTCATCCGGGACGATTCCTCATGTTAGTAATTTAGCGAGCTACCAGATGCTTTCAATAACGGTAAGTGGAGTTCTCAGCGGAGCGGTGTGCTTGTATACTTATATTATTAAATTATTATTTTACAACAACTAGGTGAAGAGAGCATGCACAGCTGTTGTTTATATTGCTGTGTGTAGCCTGTGGAAGTAACGTTAGCTGCAGCAAGGGGCTATAATATTTTTGTTCAATATTTTCCTAATGACAATTTTATGATTGGTTTATAAAGGCTATTACGAACAACTTTTCCCC